CTTAAAGTGATATTTGTCTATGAGAATTCTCACCCTATAACTTCTCTTTATTATGAACCATTTGCCACACTAATTCAGCAATCATAGCTACATTCATCACCCTTGATTCTTTAATTCCAAGCCCACCTTACAACTTATGATGAAATTTTTTTTGCCAGCTGACTAAATGAACTCTCCTCCTAGTATTATTCTCCCAAATGAATATCCTCACAATTGTATCCATCTTATTACAAATAGAAGAAGGCAACCATAAATTATGCATAGTATAAATAGGCATAGAAAAGAGAACTGACTTAGCTAAAGTAATTTTGCCTGTTTTATTTAATAAATTTATTTTTCACCTAGCCAATCTAGACTTCATCCTTCTAGGATATAATTAAAATTCTCTTATTTTGCTCTACCTTTGATAATAGGAAAATCCAAGTATTTACCAATGTTATTAGTAAAGCGAATACTAGAGATATTAATAAATTTTTCTCTTTTAGCAGCTCTAACATTTTTGGACCAAAAGCGCTCTAGATTTCTACAAATTAATTTTCAACCTAGAGGCTTTAATTATTCTAATCTGGGATGATTTAACTTTGACAAATAGAAGCAAGTCATTAGCAAATAACAGATGGGAAATTGGTGGGTCATTTTTAGAGATAAAAATAGGAATTCATTTACCATCATCCACCTCTTTTTTAATAGAAAACATCAGTCTCTCCATATAAAGCAAAAACAAATAAGGAGATATAGGATCACCTTGCCTCAAGCCTTTTTTAGGCAAAAAAGGAGATAATTTCTCACCATTCTAAATCAAGCTAAGGGAAGCTGAAGACACATAATGCATAATTAAATTGACAATAGTAAGAGAAAAATCAAAACATTTAAGAGTACATTTTAGAAATCTTTAATCAATTATGTCATAAGTCTTCTCAAGATCCAATTTAAAACCAATGTCATCAATCTTCTTCTTAGACTTGGACATAATATAAACGATCTCCTGTAACATTATAGCATTATCTGAAGTACCTCTGCCCTAGATAAAGCTATTCTGGAAAGGGAAAATAATATCAGAGATAAAAGGTCTAAGTCTATTCACTAAGACTTTAGTAATCACCTTGAAAGTCACATTTCAAAGTCTTTAAATATACCAGGATAACTGATTTTAGGAGCTAGAACAACCAAAGCCTCAACTAAACCAAGATAAAAAAAAAAAAAAAAAAGCCCTCATTAAAAGCATTTTTCACCATAAGCCATAAATCATCCTCAACTATTTCTCAAAGGATTTTGTAGAAAATCACCTAAAAACCATTTGGATCCAAAGCTTTATAAGGCTTTATACTAACAAGCGCTTGAAAAACTTCTTCTTTAGTCACTAGTTTCACAAGATTTTGAATAATCTCATCAAATAATTTAGGAAGAGCCTTCACACCCAAATTGTCAGTAATATCTTCCATACCACAAAATAAATCTTTGAAAAATTTTAGTCTCATTTTTTAAGACCTCACTCTCCATATACCATGACCCAATAGGTAGAAGAGCAGTAATTTTATTTCTTCGTCTCCTGATAATAGTTTGAGCATGAAAAAATACAGTATTTTTATCACTCTGCTTGACCCAATTTTTTTTAGATTTCTGAAACCAAAATATCTCTTCCTAATGGAGAATTCTCTCGTATTCATCTTGGAGCTAGACTTGCAAAGATCAGAGAGAATGATAGAAACATTGCTCAAGACATCTCTAAATCACTTTGAGCCTCCCTTCCAGAATCCTTTTATTGTGAAATATATTACCAAAAACTTCTCTATTAAATTTTTCAAAGTCCTTTTTCACAACATCAAAAGCTTGCAAAAATTTACTATCATTTCTTTGCCAAGTACTAATCACCAAATCCCAAAATGATTAAAAGAAAGCCAAACAGCTTGGAATCTAAAAGGACGAATTAAAGGACCATAATCTCTACCACCTAACCTAACTAGAATAGGATTGTGATTAGAAGACAGTCTAGGCAGGTTCTCCAGAAAAAGCCTCTGGAAACTCCATTCTCCAACTAGTATCACAAAGCCCGTGATCTAGTTTCTTGACCATGTAACCACCATTTTGTGTTGTCCTATGCCAAGTAAATTTGCCACCCACCATGTGCATGTCAAGAAGATTACAATTATTCATAACAGAAATAAACACCTCAACCTTTGTAGTAAAGAAATTACCTCATTTTTGTTTTTGATAGAGCATAATTTCATTAAAGTCACCTACTAAAAGCTAAGGAATAGCAATATCACCTTTTAAACTATGATTTCTCTCCGAAAGAAGATCCCTCATAGCTGGAATCAGACTCGCATATACCCCACTCAACATCCAAGGGCCAGTAGTATTTGTTACTTGAATAGTAACAATTTGATGGAAAATATAAAAAATTTAAGGTGTCCAGTTGCCGTTTTTAGCCCCTAAACACCAAAGACCACCAGAATAACCTTGGGCTTCCTTAATGACCATCGAGCTATAACTAAGACTAGACTAGAATTTTTAGAAGATTGAAAAGGCACATAAGTCTCCATAATGATAACAAAAACTGGTTTGTGTTTACCCACTAATTTCCCAACATAACGCCTTCCTCTAATATTTTTTTGCCCCTCTTATATTCTAAGAGAGGATAGTCATATACTAGAAATGCATCATCATGAAAAAACTCAGAATAGTAAATAAGGATGTGGAGACATTAATGGGCCATATTACTACAGCTATCCATTGGCATAGGCTCTGTTTAAGTGACATCCTCTGTATTATCCTTTCCTTCCTCCAAAAGTAAAGGTTTAGAAGCATCACTTATAATGGGTAAAAAAGGCAGCTTACTCGAGGCTTTCCTAATGTATTGGTCAAGCAATTTAGGAGTAGTGTTTTTTAGAGTATCGAGTCTTGTCTTCTTTTTTTGATCAATTGAATTAGATTGTTGCTAGCCCCTTCCACATGCATGTTAACATTGGCCTTACTTGCAATTACTTTCTTCCCCTTACTTTTTTGCAAAAAGGAGTGTGCTACTATTGTTTGAATTTTCAATGCTTGCTTATCATTCCCAGCCTTTGTGTTTTGTGGCGCTAGTCCCACAACTTTCTCTTAGAGCTTAGGCAGTACTTTAATATCGAAACTATATTTCTTCCTCAATAATTCAATCTTATTATTGTTAAAAACTCTCGAAACTGTAGCCACCTTTTTGTCCTTATTCTGCGCTTGAGATTTGTTCTTGACAACGTTACTCTTTTTTTTTTTATATTTGACATTAATCCATTCACCACAAAGGCTATCATCATTAACATTAATAGCATGGTGATTGACCGAAACTGACGTCTCCTCCTTCTCACTTGGACTATCCACTTGTTGGTTTCCTAGCTTCCCTATGGCTGTCTTCGATGCATGATGCAGCTGAGATTTTTAAGCATCTCTCATGTTCATACATTCTTCTTCATGAGAAACCGCATTTAACGAAAAAGATCTAGTGACATGACCATAATAGCCACACTTAGCACAAATTATGTGTAAACCTTCGTAAGCCACGTGATACTAATGGCCATTCAATCCCACCTTTCCACCAACGGGCTGCATCAAATCAACCTCAACACACACTTTTGCAAATCTATCCTGATTAACATTTAACATGTTCATATCAATCCTAATCGGAGTGTCGATTGCCGATGCTAATGCATAGAGAATACTCTCATAATAATACATTAAATTCAATCCTAGAAAATGTATCCCCACCAAAGTTTTCTCCACCTTAGCTATAGGTGAAGCAAACTCTGGTGACCCCCAAATAATGATAAAAAATCATCCATATCCCTTCCTCTATAACCTTTCTTCTATCCTCATCAACATCAAATTTGACCATGAAAAATCTATTATTAACATCCATGATTTTAAATCTTGTTGTAAGTTTCTAAATCTTCTTCAACTTGTCTTTTATAATACCATACCCAATAGTTTTTACTAGCATTTTCACCACCAAAGCCTCTCACATGCTCTGACAACACAAGCATTGGTTGAAGCCTATTGTCCTCCATAAGCTTCATCTTCGTTAAATTTTTTCCCAACAAATCCACCTTCTCCTTGTGTGCATGAAAAGTTTTTCCATGCATTACCTTATCTCTGAAAGAAATGGCCTTCACCCCCATCATGTGGTTCCTCCATGAAAACATCATTTGCTCTAGGAGAGAAAGCAAATCCTTCACCCTCCATAGTTGTTAACGTCATTTTAAATTTTAATTTCTATTATTTTGAGAAACTAATTTAAGAATTTACTCAACAAAATTTTATATTTTTGTAAATAATTATATATAATAAAATTATTTTAATAACAACTTTTTAAAAATATTATTTTTGACTTAAATCTATAACTACAAATAGTATGTATTAAAATGATAAAGATTTAATAAAGTTAAATAGTTTTCAAATAATAATTTTACCATATAGTGTAAAAAAAATTAATTAAATGTCAATAATTAATATATTTTAATAATTATAAATTTGAGAAATGAATCTCTTAATTGTATAGTGTAATTTGTACAAGCTAATTTTAATTTTAAAATACATACGTTACGAATTCTAAAAAAGAAAAAATCTACTAATAATTAACTTTCATATAGTAAATTCTTAGTTATAATATAAAGTGGATCGATAATCATGCTTATGCTTAAACAAGTATAAGAAATTGTAAAAGGAAATTCCCTCTTACATTGTATAAAGATGTTCGGTCTCTAACAAAGCTGGAAAACGAATTTGATTTGATCATTTAACATGAATTGACCATTATCTATGAACTATAAAATCATACTTTGTCAGATGATAATAGTTATATAAAATACTAGGCAACTTTGTCATAAGCAGTGGCTGTAGTTTAGTGGTAAGAATTCCACGTTGTGGCCGTGGAGACCTGGGCTCGAATCCCAGCAGCCACAGTTTTTTAACCTACTCAAACGACATTATTTATTTTTACGATGAATATTTGGAGTCATAAGCCATAACCATGGCCAAATCCATTAGAACGGAAGCAAAGGGTGGTGATAGAATGAGAATGGGAAGTGACAGCGAAAGTGAAGAGAGATGGCGTTACACATGGGAAGCACAGTCCCACATCCCAACGCTTCGCTTAATGCTATTTCCCCAAAACAAAACCCTCATTCCTTCTCTCCAATGCCACAACCTCAACGTCCACCTTCATTCCTCGCACTCTTTTCTCATCCTCACTTTCTCCTCCCTCTCCCTTAGGGTTCCACTCCCTTCCGTTTTGGTCGACGCCGATTCTCCGATCACATTCCGACCACTCTCCGACCACATTCAGGTCAAGCTCGTCCTCCTCCTCCCCGTCGACCACCCTGTCCTCTCCACCCTCAACCTATCGCAAACTTCGCCGCCGCACGCTTCCGTACCTCTCCAAATGGAATCTGGTAATGTCAACTTGCCGCTTTTGATTGTTTTTTACTTTTTTGAAAATTTGTGTTTATTTTCACTTCTTTGTTTGGCGCAGATGTGAAAACATTGTCTTCTGGAGGAGAAGTTGACTTTTACTGCAGAAGTTGCGCCTTCAAGTTGACCAAAAGTCCTCTCAAGTATGATCTTTGTGTTTGCATATTCTTCGTCTATTTCGAGTATCATAGAGTTCTTACTTCTTAGTTCTCGTTTGATTTGAAGTTAAATAAAATGAATTTTGATGAACTTGTTTTTGAGCCGTTGAATGTGTCATTGTGGCAGGAGCATAAATTAATCTGAATCACTCAATTTTATTGAAACTTAATTTATTTATTTTTATTGTAAATGCTAGAATTGATTAAAACAAAAAACCTAGTTATCTAAGAGTAACAGTACGCCATGGTTAGTATATGAGGTTGAAATTTTAAAAAGGAAAAGAAGAAAATAATAAACTAGCAGTAATAGGTGATTTTTGAACGTTTTGGTGTTTTTTGTTTGAGTCCCTTGTTTAGGAATTTTGTTGAAATGCCATCGGCAAATTGGAGAGAGGTAGCTGACAACTGGTTTGGGGCTTGTTGTTGTTCATTTGGAGGAATAAGTGAGAAGTTGGTGATGAAGTATGTAAATTCTCATACATGTGCGCCAGGGTTATGCTTATTAAGCTCCACATCTATCACTCTTTGCAAGGATGATCTTGTGGAATGTGATTTTCCTGAAGGGTGTGGACAACAAGAGTGTACTTCTATGGCTGAAAAACCCAGAGATGATGGTGTTAGCAAAGGCACAAGAAAATCTGAATTAAATGAAGAAAAAACTTCAACTTGCGGTGATGCGTATGGAGTGACCCATGCTCATGATGAGAACTCAAGGTTTGCAAATCGTGAGAATGAAAAGCTTTCCGTGAATTTTAGATGTGAAGTGGCTGAGAATAAACCTGATCATGGTGACTTCTTTCATTCACATCCAGATTCAAATGATGCTGAAGACGTGACCCAAACTACTAGTTGTTGTGCTCATATGACGAACGTAGTTGTGGATGAAGACAGTGAATGTCATTTATCTGGAACTGCTAGAAAGGGACAGATGCCTACAGAGACCATGGAAATTCTGGGCAATCAACAATCTTTCCTCAATGGTTTTCTTGAAGATGTTTTCATGGCTAGATCATCAAATCTTTCAAAGGATATTGATTGGCATGAATTTATGTGCCCTCAATGCTTGTCTCTTCTTGGAGCCTACCCTTGTTGTGAGGACCATGCACCTGTAGATGGAGGAGTACGATTATTTAAATGTTATATTTCAACCTGTGTGCCAGTTGGAGGATCAGGCAACATGATCAGGTTAGTAAAGAATTACTAAATTCACTCTGTTTCTTAATAATTCTTCTTTATCAGAAAGTAAAAAAGGGACTCAGTTTTGTGCCATTATAACTAAATTGCAGCTAACTATGGGGTAATAGATACAGTAAAACATATGTGCTTCTAGGATTTATTAAGAGAAATTAATGTCTTAGCATATAATTTCAGCTAGCCATATAAATTTGGAAATAATAAGTGAAATTGATGTAAATTGGGTAGTAGAAATGTAATATTGGGAGAAAGGTATTTATTCTTTCTTTTGTACAAAATGGGTGAGAAAGAAGTAGCAATGAGTGTAAACTGTCTCTTGAGGTCTTCTATGTGTGTCCGCTAAAAATATTTTTTAGGGAAGTAAAATTAGGTGTGGCTTATTAAGTATGAGCCAGTTTTATCTGTATTCCTAGCAACACTTTTGGGTCTTTCATAACTGTGTGTACAAAGGTTACCAACCAATATCATGCACTTATGGGACAAAGGTGAGAAAAAGAGAAGTCTCTGTCTGGCATGCTGTTTCTTCTTGATCCTGTAAATGAGCGTGACTGTATTTTCCTTATGTATTCCAGGCTATCACTTTGAAGCTTGACTAACAAAATATGAATATAACAAATTTTAATGCTTTATGTTTGTCACCAGCAAATATACAATGGACAAAATGTTCGCAAATCGGTTGATGGAGTGTGCAAATGATGAATCATCATTTCGGTTTGTTATTAGAGATCTGACAACCCAATCGCTTGTCCTGCAAATTATTCTTTTAAATCCAGATATATGGTCTTGTTCTGGTAATTGTTCTAGTACAGAGGACAAAGAGCCAGTTCCTAAATTGCTGTTACGCCCCACCATCAAAGTGCTTTTTTCTGAATGTAATGCTGCAACAGAATCTCAATTAAGGTCAGTTATTAAACTATCTCATATATTAATTTGATATAATATATTAAAAATTTCATTCCTTTTCCTTTTGGTTTGAGGTTTAGAATTAGGAGCATCTATACTCTTTGCTTTTGTCTCTCTTGATGTTGTTTTCCATGTTTGATTTACTAGATTCTGACTCCTTTTCCTTCATTTTCGTCTTGAAACTTGCCTGCTATTTCTCTGCTACCTTGAGAATAAATAATTTTTTTTTAAAATCCCATAATTAGATAGGGGTAGGAATCCTTTTTTGTTTACCCATTAACTCTGAATAATCAACGGGTGCATGCATGATTTGTCTACCTTGAGAATAAATGAATTTTAAGAAATATATATTTCTTAGGAAGGTGTAATAATCAATGGGTTCGTGCATGGTGTATCTATTGTATAATCTGCCTCCTACGAAGTTGAATAATTTGTGCAGGATGATAGAAGAATGGGCAACAAAGAATTCGGCTGAAAACATTTTTATGTTGACTCATCAATTACAAGAATTGGTGGGGTCGTTGATGTCAGCAAAAGACTCATATCCACCTTCATGTGCTTCCCTTCAAGGTTTGTTTTTGTCCTCTGTGCTGCGGTAGTAATCTACGCATCTACTTATTTGGCCATCAAAGTTAAATAGCGCCAAGCAAAGGTTGAGTGATTGGTTAAACTTGTATATTGTATGAAGGAAAATGTTAGATTATAGCTAGAATTTACTTGACAGAGTAGGAGCCAGATTGACTTTTTTTGTAATAGATAAATGGTATCAATTTATCTTAACCAACCACGTGAATGCTGGTGGTTAAATTCTGTTAAAATTGTTTGGGCTGTGGATTTCACGAATATTAATGTGGCCAAACCAATTTAAGACAACATCGGAGCTGTTCAAAAATTGACTCAAAAGAAACCTGAGACTTTTGTTCAGACTTCAAAATTTGTATTAAAATATTATGAGCCTAAGGAATGCATAATGTCCGAGTTTTCTATACTGTGGCCATGTCGGGCATATCATGAAGTTACGTTTGCCGAAAACTACTGGTATTAAATTAACTCGTAGCAAAACTGTTTTCTTAGAAAAACAAATTTAACTTAGAATAGTAATGTTGGTATTAGTTTATTACTCACTATTCAATGTATGGTTGTGCTCTCTCAAATTCTGATCATATCAATTGTTCAGGTTGCTAAGGGTTCACAGGCTACTAACAAGTATGGATTGAAATATAGTAGGTTGTTGTCAAACTTTAGGTCATGTTTGGTTTATTTGTTAAATAAGTGTTAATGTTTTTTAAAGTCTATTTGGTTGACGGGTACCTTTGAAATAACACCAGACCTATGCATCAGACGCCTAGACTCTTTCAACAACGAAGTCCAGGGAATGTCGGATGTGAAATTGTTTATTAAAGCTAATGGTAGCGTAACCTTAGAGTCAAATTCCATACCAACTGAAAGATCATCAGAAATATTTTCAACACTTTTAATTCGCTCCAAAAAATATTAGGAAATTCAGAATTTTGTCTCCTGTAAAGCATGTTAGTGTAAAATGAAGATGAACCTAACCTTGTTTCAACATAATCACTTCTAGGGAGATATTCTTCTCTAAATTCCCTTACATGTCTCTAATATTTGGATTAACACGAAGATTCATGTGATAAAAAAAAAAAACTTATGTACTTAATTGTGATTTAAATTACAAATTAGAAACCTACAATGAATGTTTTACCTGTGAATAGAGTCATTGAACAAACTTAAGAATAACACCCTGTAGATTGTGAGAGATGTTGTGGAATGCAAACTGATAAGTGAGGGAAATATATAGAACTTAAAGTTGTACTTCCTATATACCAACCTTATAATTTTTCTTTTTCAATTACTATTTTGTCTATTGATAAATCTTGAAAATAAATTTATTAAGATCATTTAGTTAAAATAACAAAAGAATAGAAAAAATAAAAAAGGAAAGTTGCCAATTGCGACTTCTTAAGAAGTCGCTATAATTTTTATTCAATAAAAAATTAGAAGTGGTACTTTTGTTTACGATTTCTAAAATTTTCAAAAAATTAAAAAAGAATTGTACTTTGTGATTAGTACCTGTAAAATTTTCAAATAAACAAAAGTTGTGTTGGGTGATTATATCTTGAACACCTTAAAAGCAAAATTCTCACGGTAATAATACCTTATTTAACATGTAAGTAATTTGTCAAGCCTCTCCTAATATTCTTTAGGAGTGAATTCCTAACTCATTTCGTTCAAATCTTTTTAAAGTTTTTAGTCAAGTAATTCACATGAATTGTACGTAATGTTACATACTTGATTCCTTACATAGTAATAATATTTGACTTGATTCCTTCTTAAGACGTGTTAATCCTTCACATCCTAATTATATCTTTCTACTTTTCATAGATATGAATTTGAATGAATCAAAGGTTATAAATTTCAAGTCTCACAAATGAATACTTCATATAATAATTCTATTATTGTTAGTTCTTCACTTAGTATTCGATCATATTAAAAAAATGAAGCATATATAACTTGGTCGTCGATAGAAGCTTTTTATGTATATAGCATAATCATATCTTGAACAAGATCAAGATATGGAACATGATTAAGTAACAAATCTAACCAAGGGACGTGTGTGCATATTGTTATTTAGAAGATGGTGTTCAAAGATTAATCAATCTAGCATACTTTGGTCTTGCATTGTTGATTTGTGACTTTCTAATATGTCATCATTTCGAAAAAGATATGGAACATGATTGAGCAACAAATCTAACTGAGGGACATGGGTCTGCATGTTGTTATTTAGAAGATGGTGTTCAAAGATTAATCAATCTAGTATAGTTTTGTCTTGCATTGTTGATTTGTGACTTTCCAATATGTCATCATCTAATTAACGCTTAGGTTCAACGTTGCAGATCAAAGACACGTACTTTTCATTTTTCACGAGGCAAAGCAACAATCACGTTAAAAGATGTTGTCTTACACCTTGGTCTTGCCTATTGACAAAAAAGTTGTCACTAATGTGATTTAATTTCAATGGAAACACATTTGCTAAGAATTTTTAGCAATTGTTTGACTTCATGAATTTATAAAGGGACAATCAATTAATATTTTTTTATTACAAAAAATAATTTCCAACTGTATCCCCCAAAGCCAACAAATGAAATTCACACGCAACATGTAAAAGCTCACATCTTAAGGATGATAGGTTTTCTTATGCTAGATACATTAGGTGCTTATACACATGTGATGTATTCAGTTATTGCATGACTTGAATAATGTTAGATCCTATAGTTGGGGTTTGGTATCTTAGCAATGCTACATCGTTCTTTAGACATTGTTACAGATTCATCTCAAATAGAAATATATGATTGTTTATTATTATTTCAATTATGGGCATGATATTACATTTTACAACTTACTCTAACGTATTTTTATTTTTTGATGACGAGATCATAGAAAAACACGCCTTTTCCCTAGAGCGCAAGTACAAGTTTTTATGATTTTAACTAATTATGAATTAATTTTTAGACTTTAGACTTTATTCACTATTCAAGTTATTTGAAGTTTAAATGTCACCTTAATTCTTTGTTAACATATGGACTTGAGGTTTGACTAATACTGATACGTCTGGTCATGCTCATAAAATCATTTGTTTAATTATTGATCATTTAAAAATAAATGAGGTATTCTCAAATAACTTAACATTATAAATTACATATTCCATACAATACAAGTGTCAAATATTTTTTTTTCTTCAACTTCCAATTTTGATTGGGTTCACAATGTTGACATGAATGGCAAATCACATATATATTGGCCTTATTGATATCGATAATAGATTTGAATAGTGGAATGCAGATGGGTGAATCATACATTTAAATTTTAAATATCCAATCTATGTATATGTATTGGTTCATTCGTCAAATTTAATGTTATATATCTTGAAAAGCAGTACACTCGGTTAGTGCAGTATGACCCTTTCATAATATTTTCATTTTTACCTTTCTTTTAACTTAATTATACTCAACTAACTTACATCCACATGATTTTTAGTTCTTATTTGTGTGCCCAATACATGATTATAACCGGTCTCCAACTATTGCTCAAAATCCCATCCAAGACATACATCATGCTAACTGTTCCTCACGTTGAGAAGAGACTAATATTAGCCATCATTTTATAGCTCCCAATTTCATAAATCCAATAACATATGAACATCATAACCGAGCAACAAACTCAAATGTAGAAACCATTGCATTTTCAATGTCTTAATTATATATCATGTCATCTTTTGGAACTTAACTACGAACATTTTCTTCGTACGCACCTCAATTTCTTTCTAAAATATGTTTCTTTCTACCTCACATGTTTTTAGATTGCCATCATCAATATTTGGTACAAGCTTTAACATCCCACTATCGACATCCATGCATGAAGCAATACCTTCATGTTATCGTCCATTGATGCCTTCACAGAGCACTTATGGAGATAATAATGATATCAATGAAAAAGTATCGATCAAGAGTCTGAACCAACACTTCTTTCTCAAAGAAACCAAAAGGCCAAGAACTAAAAGTGATATGCAACAAATGTTACAAGAAAGAATAATTCAATCACTAAGAACTAGAAAGAAATCCCATTGTAGAATATGACCATATCTTTGTCATGCTTAATTTAATAGTATAAATTATTATTTATATATTAATTAACGTTTTTAGACTCTTCTTATTTAATAATAACTAATTTTATTTAATTAAATCTATCATTTTTTTCATAAGTAAAACAATAATACTCATTTTGTAAGAAATGAAAATTTAATTATAATAAAAGTCATATATAATATAAAAAAAAATGTATGTGTGTGATATGTGATCTATTCTTGGTATTTTATTAACTATAGTTATGATTTTTTTAATCTATTTATTCACTAAATCAATAAATTATATATCTATCATCAAATGATATATGATATATTTATTGTAAAATTTCTTTATTCAACAATTTTGAGCTTTCAATGACCTACATAGTGTATATTTTAAATTTTGTTAAAATTAAAGTTAAATCACACATTTAATTTTTATAGTTGTACAAGTTTACAAATTAGTTCTTCTTCTTATAAAATTTGTTTTAATTTCTATATAAATATTTTGTTATATCATGATCCCTACTATTATAATACCATTAACAATAGGTACCAAAATGTTAATAGTAGGGACAAAAACATAAAAAAAGAAATTTATATAACGACTACAACTTAAATATAAGAACTAATTCATAAATATGTGACAACTATTAAGACTAAATATATAATTTAACTTATTTCTTCTTAACACATGATTATTGACTGCATAACACATTTACCACAAATGTTATATCTAGACAAATACAAACTTAAGCGAATATTAGACTTCTCATGGTTGATGTATAGCTAATCTTTTACATCTCATTTCTTTCAAGGTCATTTTTTATACTTTTTTGAGACTAAATTTATTTCCTTTAACTACAGGGGTATTTCCTAACGTACTATCTTTCATGTCGAATCTATTTAAAATTTTATTGATATAGTTTTCTTGTGATAACTTTAAGATACCATGAAAACATTATCTTAATACCTAATACAAAAGAGACTTCATCCAAATCTTTCATTTCAAAACTCTATGTTGAAATCTCTTGGTTTCATACAATAAGCGTATATTGCTACTGGCAGCAATATATATCATCGACATATAATACCAAAAATATATATTTTACTCACATTGAACTTATGGTAGATACAATTATTAACTATGTTTATCTCAAAATTATACGAGATA